CGGACGCCCTTGGGGCGGCCGCGGCGCGCGCGGAGCTGGACTAGATGCCCGTGCGTCACCAGGAGATTGCGGGCATGGGCCGTGCTTTGCAGTGACTGGAGCTCCAGGCGACACGGCACGCTCTCGTGGCAAAGTGCCCGCGGCGGGTGCAGCTGGTCGTCAGGAGTCTGTTTGGGGCTACCCAAAACTCAACCCGCCGACCATGATGTCCAGGGTCGTCGTGGTTCCGGGCCTCACCCCGGACATTCAGCCAGCCAAGATCAGCCGCCCGTCTAAGTGGAAGATGGCCACCGCAAGTGCGCCCAACAATGAACGGTCCCAGCCAGATTGTCGGCGTCCGATCGTCGACCGTTCCCGGTGGCCCACCGCTTTCCAGGATACGCCAGCAGCACGGGCCTTCGACTGGTTCACCTCCAACTTCCTGCCCTTTCCCACGCACATCGACCTCAGCCGCACGGACTCCGCGACAACCCTTCTGGACGAAAGCCAGTCCTGCGCGGTGCTGGCAGTGACATCAAAAGCTGTTTAACAATTACTGTATCCCCCACGCCCTCGCCCGGGAGTCGTGGTCTTTTCATCGTGCGGTATGCGTGGGAACGGTTGAAGCGATTCGTGTGGGGCGTGTGGACAAGCGTGAGGTGCCCCTTCAAGGGCAGCTCCCGTCTCGCGTACATGGCCGGCACATCACATTGCCCGTTGAAGACATCGACGCCTCATCCACCACCATTCGGATACAGGCTTCCTCCTCCTGGGCGCCCTCGTCGGCAAAGAGATCGAAGGTCTGGCGATGAGGAGCCCTTTGGGGTCTGCCCCCACGCGCATGCCCTTGTCAGATCTCGGCATGCGGTCTTACTATTCCCTCCACGGGCCCCGCCTGCCGCCCCCAGGGGCCAGGGGGCGCGTGCACCCGGACTGATTCAACGGCCACTGCATACTCGTGTTGGAGATGAGATGCATGGACGATCACCTCTCGTGCTGTTGAAGGGCCCTCCTGAGCTCACGTCCGCGGAAATCAGCATCGTAGCGAAGGCGTTGGGAGCCCGAACGAAGGCTTGGTACCCGTTCCCTCTCGAGCCGGACCCCTCCTTCACCTTCGCACGGGTCGACATTTGTACGATGCTTGACGACACCGTTCGCACGAGGCCGTCCACAAAAGGCTCTGGGAGCAGAGTCCCACGCAAGAGTCATGCCGTACTTCGGCTACGTCGCGCCCTTTGTCAAAAGAGCCCTGGTGCTGGGTGCAGTGGCAAGGGTCCGGACCTACACAAGGCCGACGGACGAGCAGCATGAGGTCCTCCACGTTTTCACAGACCTCCTCCGTCGCTTCTCTAGCTACCCCTCCGGAATTGCTAGACATGTGGGTCCGGGAGGGCGTGAGCGCGCCAGGCCGGTAGTCTCGCCACCTGCGACGATGTGGCCCCCCTGAGTCCCTCCCTCCTCCTCCTCCTCCTCCTCCTCCTCCTCCTCCTCCTCCTCCTTTCTCCTTCTCCTCCTCCCCCCCCTCCCCCCCCTTTTTGGTCCCTCCCTCCTCCTCCTCCTCCTCCGCCTCCTCCTCCTCCTCCTCCTCCTCCTCCTCCTCCTCCTCCTCCTCCTCCTCCTCCTCCCCCTCCTCCTTCCTCCTTCCTCCTTCCTCCTTCCTCCTTCCTCCTTCCCCCTTCTCCTCCTCCTCCTCCTCCTCCTCCTCTTCTCCCCCCGCACACCATTTTCCAGGCGATCCGCTGAAGACATGGAGGGTGGTGGAAAAATTGTTACCATCTCTACGTGATGCCCGCGGTGCCGGTCAGACAGCTGTGGTGCAAGCTATCGTCCTCCTCCGCCTCTTCCTCCTCAAAAGGGGCCAGACTGAAGCACCCTACCAGGAACAGGTCGGGAAGCTATCGTAACGGCGCCGTTTCGGGACGATCCGGTACTCCCATTGATCCCTCGTTTGGTCGCCAGGTGGGAGTGTGGGTGGAGGGGGGCCTCGTTGGTTCCACTGAGACTTGCCCGACGCCTGCCAAGAACCGGTCCAGAGGTGGACGCGGGAGGGGAGGGGGAGGGGGAGGGAAGCCTTCTTGCTCTTCATCCAAGAGATCCCCCACCACCGCCGACGTGGTACGTGCGGCGTCAGGGAGGGGCGGCCCGCACACCCGCTCTCCCACCATAGGGGAGGGTGCGAAGTGCCCGTGTGCGGGACGGGCTGGGCAAGGTGGGACACCAGGCCCCCCAGGCATCAAAGCCCGGGCACCATGCGCCTGGCCGACACTTCAGGGGATGCACCACACGCCTCCCCGCCAGCTTGGATCTTTGCGTCACACGCGAGATAATTAAACTAATCCCACCAGCCCTCTGGGCGTCGGTGGTTTAGGGCGTTTCCTCTTCCACCCCTCCCTCTTCCCCTTCGGGGGGGGTTCACCCCTCCCCCGACCCCCTCCCCGTGGACCTGGACGGGAGGGGCGGGGAGGTGTCAGGGCGTCCAAAACGGCCTCGGCGAGGAAGCCAAAATCATTGATTTGACCCGGGTTTGGGCCCCATTTTGGCCTCCTGAGGGGGGGCGCTAATTAGTGCCCCCCCCTCTTGTGATCGATCTCCTCCACGATGGCCCCAAGAAGCGCCAAGGAGGCCCCAAGAGTGCCACAAGATGGCCCCAAGAGGCCCCCAAGAGGCCCCCAGGAAGCCCCCAAGAGGATCCCAAGCGGCCCAAAGAGGTCCCCGCGAGGCACCCAAGACGCCGAAAAGCCCCTCAGGACGGCCCTCTACTCGCCTGGGCGTCGTTTCTGGATGGGCTGGTGGGGATACTTTTTTTGTGGTCGCGGCCGCGAGCGAAGAGCGCAGGCGGCGAACAGGGTGTCCGGGCCGACGGGCAAGCCTAATTAGCTATTGGGCGCAGCACAAGCCGGCCGGGCCAGCTCAAAGGGCGGCAGCTGGGGCAGCAGGGCGGGGGCTGGCTTGCAGAACTGGAACGCCCAGGGAAGCTCGAGCAACGTGCAGCCCTGAGCAAAATGCCAGCTGGTGGGGATACGCGAAGCGTCTAGAATTCATTTACTGTATGCATTCATAGACTTCCAGGTTTCATCCTCTCTCTCTTGCGTACTCTCCAATAGGTTCAGCAAGGGCTGCAGAAACGCATTGTCCGATGGCGTGGCCTGAGTTCGGCCCAACGTTTGGCGGCGGCGATTCGCCAGAGGCGTCTACGATGTAACGACAGAGCACTGCATAAACATCAACTTTCGGAGGTCCGCGTAGACTTCTTGGGAAGGCGCTGAGCCCATCTTCCCTGGCGCGCGGAGCGCGCTACGGTGCCCGAGGCGCCGCGAAGGAATCGAACGTCGATCCAAGAAACCCGCGCGGACCTTCGAACGTGCTTGAGTATGTACTCGCACCTCTGTTTACGAGCATATTTGTCCCCGCTGTCGCTGACGGAGAACACCCGACATGTATAGTCAAGCACGAGGGGAACAGTGGCCAACAATTAACATACTGTGACGAACATTTCACGGGTGGTACCGCAACGGCACAGTAAGGAGAGAACTCGATCGTAACGTACCAGCCCTCCACGAGAAGACCATGAACAGCCCTGCCTGGCACTGCAGGCACCCCGTTCGCCGTACATTGCGCCAGACACTCCCGTGGGCAACCAACGCGTCCGTTGCATCAATGCCTGTGCGGGAAGTTGCACATAAGTTGTGCTGAACACCCCATGGGCGACCACACCGTCCATGGCCACAAGTGGGTGTGCCACAAGTTGTGCCGCAGGTGGCGCCATACACCTCGTGTGCAATCCACTCGCACGTTGCTCCAGCGGGTGCGCCACAAGATGCGCCACACCCCGCGATCAACCATCGTCAGTTGCCGCAGTGGGTGTGCCATAGATTGCGTCGAAGCTTGTACCATAACTTGAGCCAGGTAGCCCGCAATCAACAACATCGCGATTTGCCTCAGTGGGTGTGCCAATGCACCAGGAAGGCTGGGCCAAAATACATACGTTGCGCTAGAACCCCCGCAATCAAGGAAATTGCCGCTTGCCTCACTCAGCGCGCCTTCAATAGAGCAAATATCTCGTATGAGTAGCCACCCAGAGCCCAAGGGCTACATGCCAACGTACAGAGTTCAGCGTCTGCACACGCGATAGGAGGGTGTGAGGGGGGGCGGCAACGGTATAAAGCAGCTCTTGGCAATAGACAGCGGTGCCTCGATCGGGGAGCCGTCCTCGTTCAGGCGCGAGGGGCTCTATGATGATAGTGGGCGGGTCCCTCGATGGCTCCCTCGGGGGGCCTGGATTAAAACGAATTGGCACATGATGGAACGTCAAAGAAGACTGAGGAGGGTCAGAATGCACCCGAGGAAACCAGCTCTGCGCGCCTGACGCAATCAAAGACCTGCTGTGAACCCGCAGGAACTACAACGATACGTCGGGAGTCGAGGCCAGCGTTGAGAAGTCGGGTTTGCCATCCTCGCTCCTGCGTCTTGGCACTGGATGGAGACCACGACCACAACATGACCCCAGGACGGCTCCAGGGTGGTCCCAAGAGGCGGCGGGTGACGGCGACGAGAGGGGGGGACTCCGAATCGCCCAGCGGGCGGAGCCTGACGCGCGGACAGAGCGTGAACCCGACGAGCCTAGCACACCATGGAACAAAAATAAAACGCAGTAAACATACACTTTTGGCGCTCCGCGCGGATCTCTTGGATCTGCGCTGGACGCCCCTGCCTGGCGCGCGGAGCGCGTCAGGGGCGGCGCCGGAGGCGCCGCCCGGGGGGGGGGGGGGGGGCGCGGATCCAGGAAATCCTGGCGGATCGTCAAAAGTTTCTGTTCTCGAATGCTGTTTCTTCTCCGAAGCAGGGGAGGCGCGGCGTATGCTACCTGCCCTTGCCCCTTGCCCCTTGCCCCTTGCCCTTGTTTATGCTCATGGCGCTTCTTCTGATCCGACTCCTGGGCACCCCAGCACGGCCGGTGTGCAGTTCTGGAGCCCCCCGGGGTGTGGTGGCCCCGATGCCCGGGCGGGGCGGCCAAGCGGGGCCTTCAGGGGCTGGTTCTCGCGCCACCGGATCTCGCTCTCGAGGAACTCCGCCCGGCTGGCCAGCGCCTCGGTGGGCGCTCGGCGCGCGGCCGCTCCTGCTCGAAGCTCCACTGTCCGCCCCGTCGCCCTCGCCCAGAACAACGAAAGGTACGGCCATTGTGCTGCCATGCAGGACGGGCGCGGCCACAAAAGACCTCCCACGGGAAACCCAAACCTGAGACCCCAGGGTGCCATTTGGTCCCTGGCGTGGGGCAGTCGCGCCTTCCACAGCGAAGCCGTCGAAAGCCACGAAACCCAGGGCACCCTGAGGGCGAGCAGGGTGCTTCTTGGCACGGGCCCCCACGGCAAGGACCGCTGGGTCAGGAGCGAAGGGGAAGCTCTGGCCACGGCGAGCCTCGGCCGCGAGGCTCCGGGACCTGGATCTCGGGAACGGCCCGAGCATCCGAGCCCCCCAACTGAGCCCAGAGCGGCCACAAAAAAGCATGCCACGAGCTGTTCTCCTTCCTCCCTCCCCTCGCACGTCTCCCTGAAAGCAGGAGGCCGAACGACACCCCAGATGGTGCCCAGATCGGGTGCTCAGTGCAGTGAGTCGAAGACGGAGCGTGAAGGAGTACCATGCACAACATTCATCTATGCATCCGCGAATCAATAGGCTGCAAAACTCAAGAGGCTGCAAAAAGAAGCACCGAGAGTGTGTCCGCCGTGAAGGCCTTCTCACCAGCAGCCTCGGAGCAAGATGGCCAACAATGTACAACTCAAAACTCCGGCACTGGCATGATTGACAAAGTCTGCGCTCATCACATCGTGGAGCGCCTTGGCTAATGCTGCGCACCCGCGACAAACACCCACCCCCCTGCGGCAGGCAAGATTACATGTCATGGTTGGGGAAACCAAGAGGTACCGATACCGCTACCCCCCGGACCCCTCCCAGGGTGCGTTCTGACCAGAGTTTCGAGGCGAATCCAGCGGTGGCGACGAGGGCCTCCGAGGAGGCCCAAACAGGGGAAAACGAGGAAAGGCTAGAGGTATGGGTACCCTTTTCTCCTCTCATCGATGGCCCAGGTCGTGTGCGACGCGTCTTGCGCAGCTGCCCTGGCCATCACAAACCAGACCGCACGAGAATCGGAGCGCGCGCTCGCCCTGAGCTTGCGGTTGATGCTCTCGTCCGCGGGGTCCTCCTTCGGCGGGGCCGCACGCGCGCGCACCGAGAGCCCCCCGGTGAAGAGAGGCTCACGCGCTGCCACTGCGCACTTCGCTCTTTGCCCCACCTGCTCGTCTTACTCATCCTGGGCTAGCCCAGCCCACTCCCTCCCTCCCTCCTCCTCTCCTCCTCCTCCATCCCTCCCTCTCCTCTCCTCTACTTGCTCCTCTCCTCCCCATTACTATCTCCCTCTCCTCTCCTCCCCCTCCCTCCTCCTCCTCTCCTCCTCATCTCCTCTCCTCCTCTCCTGCAAATCCACTTCAACCACCCACGTCCAACTAACAGCACCGCATCATTCCGCAGCGGGCCGAAACAACACGTCAAACGACCAGCAGCATGTAGTCGAAATCCAATGTCCAGACTACAACCAATGAGTAGCAAGATCAACCAAATGCGAGTGCTGCAACCCATTAACAGCCCCTGCGTCAGCATATGTCCATCATCTGGACAAAACGTACACGACTCATCGCGTCATTGCCTACATCTCCTGTGCCCCGCGCTTTGGTAAAGGGGCCGCCAAGCCCAAGGTGAGGGGGTAAAATCCATGGAACTTCTGTGTCCAGTCCTCCCCAGTTCACCATCAAGGGGCCCAAGGACACACAAATAAACAAAAGCAAATCCCAGGATCCCCCATATTTTCAAACAAATGCTGGGTTTTCGTCCTCCCCCTCACTTCCCATATTTTCCCATACTTTCCGAGGAATCGACGATTCATTGTTTCTGCGTGCTTTTCCCATCCTCACACCCCTCCGCACGGACCCAACTCACGACAGCGGCCGAGGGACAAACTCCCCGGCCAAATGTGCGAGCAGCCGCCCCCCCGCAGACGCAGGAGAGGACGCGAGAGATAGCCAGAGAGGGGCTGCTCCGGGCTCCAAAATTTGACCGAGGCCGGAGGCAGGAGCCCTGCGCGGGCACCGCTTCGTGACCTGCGCTTCGCAGCCCTGCCCAGACATCACCGGCCGGGCTCCGACGGGCCACGGGCCAGCGCGGGAACCCATTGACAAGAGCTTCTCCAGCCCCCCGCCCGAAGGAGCATCGGAATGCAGCAGAGACGGTCGCCGTCAACTAGCCAGCACGCGCGCGACTGGAGATGGACTCGCGTGATCGGTGCCCCGGCACTCCGACAGAGAGGTCGGCACTCTTGCGGCGGCGGCTCGCCGTCCTTGCGGGCTTCGAGCTCAAGCAGCAGCGCCAGGCCACTCCTCAGGCGGCACGCACAGAACGTGCAGAACACATGGGTATGGAGAAGGAGACGGAACTTGAGTAATCAGCGCCATCGGGTGGCGCGCCTCAGGGTGGAGCCACTGCCGACGCTGGCGCGGGAGCCAACTCAAAGGTAGACAATGCAAACCCGCAATGCTACCCGATTAACTTACATGGGGAACTGTTAAGTATGAGAGGACACCTCGACGGCATGACGAGATCACTGCCGTCAGAGCACAAGGAAGTAGCGAGGGATAAATCGCATGGCAAACAAAGTGCAGAAGCCGACGACCACGACGCATCTGAGTGACTGTGCGCGAGGGTGAGATGAAACTTATGATAGCGCTGTCCTGTCATGCCAGTGCCCTGAGTACATCTGCAGAACAAAATGCAGACAGACATGTACGCTGTTATCTATTCTGCACAAGGATAGAAAGGATTATCTTCTGGCAGCAGATCTCAGTAGTGCTTAGTCAGTTTTACCACGGCTTTGCCAGAGGGATGAACAAGCTTATATACTAGCTGTCCTGACGGACCAGCGCATTGCATCACCTCTGCACCACATCATACAGACAGACGAGTGTCTAGATCGATCCAACGAGCACAGAAACGACTCGGTCACCTTTTGGAGCGCACCTGGGCCGCCTCGATGCGTGTGACGGCTTTCGCCTCTCGGCAGGCCCTGCGATGAGCCACCTCAGGACCTCTGGAAGCCACCCTGGCGACATATTGGCTGCACTGGGAGCGTGTCGGAGGCCCGTGAGGCTGTCTTCGGGTGCTCTTTGGACCCCTCGGAGGAAATCTCTTGGTGGCCTCTCGACGCCCACCGCGGTCGTCCAGAGCCGCCTGGACGCAAGAACCCACCACCATGAAAAAAATTGAAGCATCGTGCAAAAATCACCCCTGGAGCCCTGGACCCCACTGTTCTGCGCCATTTCTCGAGCCGGATCGACCCGTGAGGGCCCCAGGGCCCGAAAGAAGGCGAAAAGACGCCCGGCTCGAAACACTGCAACGTCAGGATCTCAGGGTCTCGCCCCTGCTTCCCCCGTCCCCCGCAAAATCCATCGCCTCGCTCCACGAGCGGGGAGTCGCACGCGACACACACCTGCGTTCCGCAGCCGCCTGGCCACGCCGCGGGGGCGGAGAGAGCGCCTGCGCCCCCCCCCCCGCGGTGTCGGGAGGCAAAGCGACTGGCACGGAAAGACCTCGTTTGGGGGCCCTGCTGCGCCGGGGCCCCCCGGGGGCGCTTCTGCGCGCTCTGGGTTGCCATCCTGGGGCACAGGGCCTGAGCCTAACAGTGCTGTTCGTTCTCGTCTTGGTTTCGTTGTTTCCCTCGCTCTGTCTTCGCTGTCTCCTTGGATGCCAAGGCGAGGTCGAAACGAAACTGGCCCACGCGGTCGTCCAAGCACAGTTTAGCTCGAGCCCTGCTGGGGCCATGGTGGGGTTCCTCGGGACCTCGCGTGGCCACTCTCTGGACTCTCGTGGGCCCTTCGAGCCACTCTCTCCGCCAATGATGAGAGAAACGATGGGTGCACAAACGCTGTGTGCGACCGATCACGGGCAAGGTTTCGCTTCGAGCCTTGCATAACCTGGGGCACGAGCTCTAGGGCAGGTGATATCCTCTGGTGCTCACCGTGAACAGGCTTTTCCATGCAGGCTTACCACCCTCGGTCAAAGCCCTGCTGCACTGACCTCCGTGCAGAATCTGCAGAGTTCGCTGCTCGGGGCAGTCGAAGGAAGGGGACAGGAAACGGGGGTCAGCAAACGACTTGCCAATGAGTTCTCCTGCGCCTACTGGGTCCGGAGGCTCCAATTTCGGCGGCAACTCATGGGAGCCTCCCGTACCATCTTGTCGGCTCTTGCGAATCGACGCCAATCAACGTTTGTCGACGCTAAATCGACGCTAGCCGACGCTAAATCGGCGCTACCTCATCGACTCCCAGACGCTAATCGACGCAAATCAACGCTAAAGACGGAATTCGGAGGGCACACCAGGCCCCCATGACTTGTGACCGAATCCAATGAGCTGAGGAAGGCGCCTGGTGGCGGGGCCGAAACCAGCTGCAAGGGCAAGAGCTGATGTACCCTCCCAGTCCCAATCCTGGGGAAGGGCCCAGAGTACACGAAGCCGCCTGGACGGAACGGGAGCTCGGCGTATGGACGGCTGGCCGCCCCCCAGCTCTCCAAGCTGTGGGGGTTGCTGGAGCGAAGAAGCACCGAATCCCCGATAACCGAACTCCTTGGTCCCGTGGCCGACCAAGCAACTGTTGTGCACATCGAGCCCCTCTGACCACACGCCCCTCTCGTCTGACCTTAGGTCGGGCATGTTCCCCTGCAGGCAGATCTGGGACGAAAGATCAAAATATGGAAAAATGCTCTAGAGTAGTCAAACATATGCAGAACGTCGTCGTCAGACTCTTGCTTGACTATCTTCGAATCTCCCTCCTGTGGAGGGACACGCCCGACTGAAAGCCTGACCCGAGATGCCACGGGCGCAGCCCACCTCCATCTCAGTGGGCAGCCGCGCGAGGGCCGAAGCCGGTGGGACGCGCCCCCGCGCGGCGGTGGGCCCTGGGCGGCTCACAGCTCCGAGTGCCTCCTCCTCTTCTTCTTCAGGCTGTCCTCGCGCCAGGCCTCCCAGGGCCGGACGGAATCGCTGCTGTTCGTTTCGTGTTCCTGTTGTTTTCCGTTCTGCTCTCCCTGCTTTCCTGCACCTCCCCGCCAACACGAGAAGCGAGACACAGCCGAAGTCCAGAAAAACAGCGTTTAGGTCCAGCCCCGATGCCTCTGGCGGCTTCGCGCGGCCGCCCCGCCCAAGTCGGCTGGGGCCCGCAAGGCCGTCCACGGCGACGGGGCAACGGGACAGCGGGCGAGCCGACGGCGAGGCCGCGAAAGTGACCGAAACCGAACCTGCCGAGAACGGCCGGGAGAGAACAACGACGCCGCCACCGACCGAGCTGGCCGAGGCAAGCTGCTGCGACGAGGCAGAGCCGACCGAGCCGGGGGCACCCTCCTTGTTCTTTTTAGCGTTTAGCGTTAGCCATACATAAGCATCGAGGCTGCTCTTCCTCCTCACCCCCCCCCCTCCTCCCCTTCTTCTCCTCCTCCTCCTCCTCCTCCTCCTCCTCCTCCTCCTCCTCCTCCTCTTCCTCCTCCTCCTCTGCCTTCTCTACCTCCTCCTCCTTCTCCTCGCTACTTCGCTTCATTCTCTCCTCCTCCTCCTCCTCCTCCTCATTCTCCTTCTCCTCCTCCTTCCCCTTCTCTGGCTGCCTTCGTCGTTCCGACGCGTCCGCTGGACAAGACGCCTGGGAGTGTCATTCGTGACGCAGGGGCTTCTCCAGTACGTGCAGTGTCCTTGGCTGGATCGGTGTTCTGTCAGACTTCAAGCGCCTTGGCGCCATGATTCAACGCCTGGAAACAGCACCTGAAGAAAGATCCAGCGAGGATCCAGGTTGCCACAATCCGCCACCGTGTCGTAGGCACTGGCATCACGATCATCGAACACCCAGCATCGAGAATTGCGATGCTCTTGAAGCCCAGACCTTCGATTTACATAATATTTGGGTGCTCATGGCTCTACTTTTTTCTGGGAGAGCGACTTTCACGAGACCTTGAAAAATCCAACATGCCCAAAGATGGACACACGCGGCCGTCCTGGGGCTCTCTTGGGGATCCCGCTGGCTGAATTGGAGGCCCTGGGGGCCAGCCCAGGACACGGAGCGCGGGCAGGGAAGAGCGGCGGACGGATCAACTCTGCCGCGGCCGACGAGAGGCAGCGAACAGCCTGAGAGTGGAAGAAGTTGGGACACGAATGCATAGACACACACTTTCGACTTTCGCCTTGGACGTGGGCTCGAATGAAGCGCTGATGCCGGTGCACGGCATGCCACAGCGACGCGTGACGACCGAACGAAGGCACGAGAAGCGAGCGAAACGAGGGCCAGAGAAGGAACCCCCCCGCGGAGGGACAGCGACCGGGGGAGGACCCGAGGCCCGAAGACCACGCGGGCACAGAGGCCAACCAGGGCAGTCAATGGCAGCCGTCGCTGCACTTTTCGGGGATGGACAGACCCCCCTTTAGTAAAACGTGGTTTAGTGAAAACGACCTGAGGCCCAAACCTGGCAGGCGCAAGCCTGGAAAATAACGGCCACGGCGCCCTCTCGAGAACCGAAAACGGACAATTCACTAATCGACGTGTCACTGTTGGGGGTTCTGTCCACCCCCGAACTTTTCATGCGGTGCATTGCCGGTCAAGGACACATGGGCGCACAGGCGTCACGTCGGCAATGACTCACACATGTTCACATTCGCTTGCAATCTTCGCTACAAGCACCAGTCAGCATGCAACTAACCCAGCACCAGTCAGACTGCAATGACCACGGCGGGAGGAGCAGGAGAGCAGTGAGCAGGGGAGGCGAGGCCTATGCGACCTGCCCATGTTAGAAGAAGGACAACAACGCCATAAACATAAACTGTTGGCGCTACGCGCGGATCGTCACAAGTTTATGTTTAAGAACGTTGCTTATTCTTCTTCGAAGCAGGGGAGGCAAGGCCTCTGCTATCTGCCCTTGCCCTTGCCCTTGCCTCGACTGCTGCACTTGCCCTTGCCTCCACGCCATCGAGGGAGCGAATTGCGTCGGCAAGGGACTGCATCTTCTAGGCGGCTGCCAGGGCCCTGACTCCTCGAATTCTCGAAGGAGCCGAACTCTATACACCGACGCTTTTTCCAACCCCGCACTAGAAAGCGATTCCTGGTGTATACGGGATCCTGGACTATACATTTTCCCTTTTTTCCCCGGAAAAACGGGGAAACAAGTAGTGGAGTGCACCACACCACCCCGACGTCGTCCCCGACCCACAAAAAGTCCTTGGATTGAAAAGCAGCGCGCCACTGGTAATGTGCATGTGCCAGTTTCCGATGTTCTGATTTATGGCCTCGATCTCAACCAAGACCCAGGTGCGCGTTAAAACAGGAGGCTCGCGACCGTCAGGAAGCTCATCGGTATCGCAGTGGGATCACGACCACCGCCATCAGGAACCTCACGGCCAACTAGATCAGGAAACTTACGACGATCGAGAAGCTCCCCCTCCACCAGGGAGCGCACGACCCTCGCCGGTGCTGTTGAAAAGAACGACCGTCAACGGAAGGCGCGCAATGGTCGCCGACACTTCGCCCCAGTCGCACACGGCGACGCGCGTCGCCCCCAGAGTCGGGGGCGGCAAAGAGGGGGGCGTCCAAGAGGGGGGGTGCAAATCATGGCCGGCGGCGCGTGCGCGGCCCAGGGGGGGGGGGCCGGGGACGTATCAAAGCAAGAAGGGGCGCCGTGCCGTGAAGTCTGGGGAGACGCAGCCGGCCGAGAAGGGCAGCCAGACTCAGCGGACGGAGGAGGAGGAGGAGGAGGAGGAGGAGGAGGAGGAGGAGGAGGAGGAGGAGATATCATGGCCCCCGCCATGACATCCACACCCCCCTGGTCATCACCCCCCGCTTTGCCGCCCCCGACATCAGGGCGGGCGCGGTCGCCTCGCGGATGGCGCCTCGTTGCCCCCCGCGCGTCGAGAGCCTGGCTGCCAGAGCGGCCGACGGCAGTCCCGAGGCGGCAGCTCGCCGCGAGCGCGCGCCCGCCCCCCCAATGCCCCCGAGAAGCGCGCCCCCCCCCCCCCAGAAGCGCGCGCCTCCCCCCCAAGAATGAAGGGGCCCTGGGACACACAGATAAATACACACAAACGAACAGATTCCCCATGCTTTCCCCTATGTTTTCTGGGCGTTTGTCTTCCCCACCTCTTCCCATATTTTCTAGGGGGTCCACGAGAAATTGTGTCTGTGGCTTTTCCCTCCTGGAAGACGCAAAGCTGACCAGGACGAGCGGCGACGAGGGGCCTGGATGCAGCTCTGCAGTCCGGGGAGAGAGGGGGGGGGAATGCAGGACGCATATGGGCGTCGCCCGAAGGACGATGGAATGATGATGATGATGATGATGATGATGATGATGATGATGATGATGATGATGATGATGATGGTGATGATGGTGATGATGATGGTGATGATGATGATGATGATGATGATGATGATGATGATGATGATGATGATGATGATGATGATGGCTTTCACGATGATACTTGAGATACGGATGACGCTGATCATTACCATGATGTTCATGGCGGTGCTGATAAGGACGATGATGATGAACACTATCATCATGAGCACCGCCACCACCATGAACATGATCGTTATTTTCAACAACGCCGGCAAGAACTGCACGATAATCAGGAAACTCACCACGATTCCGCTCAATTTCCTCGGATCTGCGCTGGACCCCCTCCCTGGCGCGCGGAACGCGACAAGGGCGGCGCCGGAGGTGTCGCCGGGGGCTCCAGCGCAGATCCAAGAACTCCGCACGCACCGTCTAAAGTTTACCCATCGGTCAGAAGGAGTAGGCAGAAGCATGAAATAAGAAAACGTTGAAAACAGATTGAATGTCCGTCCGCCCCCGAAAGAGAACGGAAAAGGTGAAGCAACTCGACTACTGAAGTAGGAAGGCGCCTCAAGTAGACTGGGACCTGGGAACCCCAAAAATACCTACTTTCAACGACCGATGGGTTTGCTTATGCCGTGGATTCTTCTTCCGAAGGAGCCGTTTTGTGCAGGGAGGTGCCCTCGTGGCTGCCTGTCGAGGAGAGCCTCGCCGCACGGGGCTTGCAGGGCCACGCAGCCCACTGCTCGCTGGCGCCTCCGCCGGGTGGCTCGCCGCGGTCGGGGCTTCGCAGACGGGGGCTTAGCTGAACAGGGGCTTGGGCTTTTCCATAT